TAGAGACATGCTCTGAATCGTGAAACCCTCCCTTTAAAGTTATGAATTAGTCGATAGATTAATAATATAAAACAAGTCTGTGTTTCGTTCCAATCTAAAATTGTCGATGAACGATCTTATTGCAAACGAAATCTCGTTTCCAAATCGAACGCCGAAAAGATTTGTGGGCTGCATTAGTAGTGGTCAGCAGTTACTCAATGACCGAAATTTTCAATATGGCAGGTGACGGCACATCGTGAAGTTTACTTTTGTCCTCCACTAGTATCATTCAAGATGATCTATTCGTGAAACTTTGAAGCTAATGAACGGAAAACAAAAAGTTCTTCAGGTGGTAAGCAATTTAAAGATAACGCTTAAGGAGAGAAAGCTATGGTGTACTTTATTAAACGTGTATAACAAACTTGAGTTGGTTGTTTGCCTGACCGAAAATTGTGAGCAGAATTTTCTTGGAGGGGAAAAAAGTGCAAGTTCCCTGTTCGTTAGAAGTTTTAGGCAGTCAAACAGGAATTCCAAAGGGTCGGAAAAAATAATCGGAAATTCCGAAAGGGAGGATGGTTTGACGAGTTTGGAATTCGGAAGGCATTGGGGGGTAGAATATTTCGGAATTTCCGAAGGCAAGGGGTTAAAATGTTCATGCCGCCCTTCGTAGGGTATGGATATTTTGTGGAATCACCCAATAGTACTGTTGCATTTGTGGAGTTAAGATAAAAGAAATAGGGTGGTGGTGGAGTGAAAACAATATAGAAAGTGGTGGCAGTGGGGTGAAGACAGTAGAAATGTGGTGATACATGGTGGCTAACTGAAGGCAATCGAAATTTGATGGTATTGTAGTAAAAAATGTAACCACGATGATGACGAGAGACGATGACGACAATGAGAACGTCACCTGCTTTAGAAATCTTTGTTTTTTTTTGTTTACCATCCTCTGCAAAACAAGATCGTGAAATGACCAAGTTCTGCGTAGTCTGTGGAACGACGGCAATTTTTGTTGTATTTGCATTTGGAACTGAATGTTGTCATTGGATATTTAGCCTGAGCAAGATTTTAGAACCATTGGTGCACTGAACAGATCTAGACAATTGCGAATATCGCTGGTAAACTATAAATTCATTTTTGACCAGGCGTCGTTCTTGGCGACGCCATCATCATTACTTAAGCACCCTGTTAGAAATGGGGTGGCGGTGGAGTGAAAACAGTGCAATAGAAATGTGGTGGTAGTGAAGTGAAGAAAATAGAAACGTGGCAGTGTCAGAAAACCAATTCCTATTCTAAGTAGGATGTATTTTTTGACGCCACTTTTTTGCGTGATAATTTATACCTTAAATTAATGACATCTTGATCATAATATCAGCTAATAATACTAGTAGTAATCAGAGATTATGAGAGTGCGTTCGACGCTCTCACTTTAATATATATCTACCGTAAATAAATGATTTCACTAGCTGACTTTCAACCTTTGTCTATTGCTAAAATCAACATTTCTCAGCAGCAACAGAGGTTTTACAGTCACATATGCATAGTGTCAAAGTCCACGCTAGTGAAGAGGTCACGATTTGATGATACGTTGCGTGACGCTGCCAGTTTCTGTAGACTCTCAAGTTTCATAGAATATTTAAATTACGTACATTATTCTAAGCTAGCATTTGCAATCGCGTGCTGGTTTCGCGTGCTCGTTTATCGTAAACAAACTCCGTACGACTAATTCGAGTATTTCCCCTGATGAATAAAGTAATCCTATGGATCTTGCCTTCAGAGTACTTTTCCACCGATTCCAAACAATAAAATTTCGACCGGATAAAGAC